TTTTTTTTCCGTATCTTCTTGCAAAATGTGGAGTTTTAGTGTTTCTAAAATTTCTTTGCAAAACTACCAGAATATTGCAAAGATCAGAGATAAAGGAGATCGTTCTGCTTTTAAGGCAATGATTAGCATTACAAGTGCCATCTAGATCTCTGATATGGAGACTGAGAAGTATCATTAAGGACTACTTCTGCAAAAAGTACTTTACTTCTGATGTAAGTGATTTTACATCATTTCAACGAAGTGAATAATAAATTCTTTTTTGAATTTCTTTTCCTGTTTTTAAATATCTATAATATATGTTTAGTCTTGCATATTTTTAGCTTACCTTTAAAAGCAATACTTTTCAAGGAACAGTATTCTATAGGTAAGAAGTTCATGTTTCCTGAACTGCAATATACATTTCTTTATACTGTTTGTATGTATGGCTTCATACATTTTTGAATCTTTCAGAAATTAATACCTTATATTAAGGAAAAAACTCATTCTGTAAAAAGAACAAAATCTTGTAAGATGAAATTTTAGTTTGAGGGAGGAAGAAGTTTTCCAAAGAAAACTAATAATCTAATAAGTTACTCATTTATAGTTTTCTGTCAATGTCATATATATGTCTGATTTGCTATATTGTAGAATTTTTTCACTCTCTGATCACAAATCATGAACATTTATGAACTCAATAAACTTTTATGTAGTGAAAAAGTGACAGAACTTACAGAATTGATAGCTAGTTTGGCTTAACTAGTATTTTCTTGGACAATATATTGTAGGACCATAAACTATTCTATCCTGAAAGATTTTTTTTTCTTATTGTATTAAGATGTTACTCAGTTGTTTCTTATTTAAACAAAACAGTAATGCAGATGCTGTCTAGAATATACATGAGTTTCTGTAGGACTGCATATCTGAGTGACTTATACCAAAGTGAACTTTCAAAGCCAACAGGATCAGCTATTTGAGTCAAAGTTTATACAGGTAGACTCCAATCAATATTTTGCTTGGCTTTGTATAACATCTTAGATTAGTGTATTCATTTAACATTGGTGTTAAAGTATGCAAAACAATAGAAAGAAAAGCTAGAACTATGTCCAGCAGACTTCATGGGGTATAGCTCATATTTATTTTTCAGTAGTCTTTTGTTGACCATGGACCTACTTAAGATGCTGAGGCTCCAAATTCAGAATATTTCAGTTTGTTTAGTAGATTTTTGGTTTTGCTTGAATTAGGTTTTGGCATAAGCACTGGAGAGTAACAGAACAGTGGAACAAAGATTTCTTGGTTGCATTTCATGACATAGTCAGACTGTAAGGTAAGGGATTTATTTTGGCTGCCAAAAATTGTGTATTCCAGTGGCCATTGCTATCCCACATATATGGTGGTCCAGTGCTTCTTGAAAGCCACCAGTCTGCCGTTCCCCTTGAGGAGAAGAATGTGTTGGAATTCAGCGTCAGAAACTTGTGTTTGATTTGTGTGGCAGGGAATGTGGTTCTCATTTAAGCACAGTGCTGCAGTTCAGGCAGTTCACTCGCCCAGGCTAATGCTACTTGTTCTTCATTAATTTCAGACAGCCTAAAAGACCACATACTGGATATCCTAATCTGTTCTGAGTATAACTGAGAGTTGAAGATGGCTATGATCTTGGAGGAATACTTAATATTCCTCAAACATGGCCATATTATTATATTATTTCACGTTTCTGTGTAAAACCATCCAAAGGCCCTGACCGTCGCTGTGCAGAGCAGAGGATTAAGCCCCATTGTGCTAAGCGTGGCGCCAGTCCCTATGAAGATCCGGTCCCAAGTAATTTACAATCAATAATGTTTGACCAAGAGGCTGAAAATTGTTTTTTGAAAGCCTAATCTGCTGCCAAGTGCATAGATAGTCTCCATAAGCTACTTGCATTTTCAGGAGCGCTCCGGGAGCACAGCTGCCCTGATGCCCTGCAGTGCCTTGGCCTTGACCTTGGTCAAGACACACTTCCAGTTGATAGCGTAAGACCAGCAGTAGCTTTCAGCCAAAGCAGAGATAGCAGGAGGTGGCCAGGGAAATTCCTCTCAGCTCCATGATCCCACATAGCCCTTGGAGGCCCAGTGTAGTTGTGTTTAATGGGACCACCGATACCCTCCTCCTGCTCCCTCCTGGTGGATTTCCATAAACTGGCATGGGCAACAACTCACAGACTGTTCAGAAAGCTCCACCGAATAGCGAGTGCATTTGTGTGGGGAAAATCTGCAACCCCATGCAGGGGCTTAGGCTAAGAAGTGAAAAATAATGTATCCTATTAAAGCTGGAGAAGAAAATCAGGCCGACGGATAATTACTTGATCTGGGATTTAGCCAGGATTTGGAATTAACACTAGGGCTGTGCTCGCTAACTGTTCAGTCCTGTGCAGTTTTAGGGTTTGAGGCTGCTCTGCCTTTTTTTTTTTTTTACTCTTGCTAAATTAAAGAAAGAGTAATTTGCATTGAAATAAATTTCTACTCATTGAAAAATAAGAAAAGAAAAAGAATGTTACTTTTAAGTGCTTGCAACTGTCTTAAATAAGAACCATACACTTCAGGGAAGGAATGATTGATGAGAAAATGTCAAGACCATTCACGAAATGCTGGAGAATGAAGGAGTGGTTGGGTGGCTCCTCTATGTGTGGCCCAAAGCACGCATTCAAATCCCCTTTCCCTCATTTAGACTCTGAAGAGTGACTTAAGGACCTACTTTGCAGTAGTTTTTTTTTCTACTCTTTGCTCTTTTCACTTGAGAATAAATAATCATGCACATGTTGCACCAGAGAGCTAATGTGAGAATGGCTGTCTGCATCAGTGGTGAAGGTGGAAGCCTGATTCCAGTCAACGTTTTAAGCTGTTAACTGATTATTTTTTACATGGAGGACAGAACTCTGGGTATATAGACAAAAATACAGGCAGCGCAGATATGGTATGGTTGGGGATTTAAAGAGAAACAAGACCAAGCTCATATGTAGAGTTAGTGCTGTATTTCCTCAAATTTCTTGACAGAATTACCGTACTTGGACCCAGAACCTTGTTTTGAGGATGTTCTTGTAATTTGGGTAACAATGAAGCAGTGGACTGGTCTGGTCCGGCAGAACCAACTGTTAAAATGGCATCCTGGCTTGTATCAGGAACAGCGTAACCAGCAGGACTTGGGAAGTGATCGTCCCTCTGTTGGCAGTGGCAAGGCTGCACCTCGAATACTGTGTTCAGTTTTGGGCCCCTCACTACAAAAAAGATATTGAGGTGCTGGAGCATGTCCAAAGAAGGGCAATAAAGCTCATGAAGGGGCTGGAGCACAGACTTTATGAGGAGCAGCTGAGGGAGCTGGGGTTATTTAGTTTGGAGGAGAGGAGGCTTAGGGGAGACCTTATGGATCTCTGCAACTACCCGAAGGGAGGTTGCAGTGAGAAGGGTGTTGATCTCTTTTCCAGAGTAACTACCGATAGGACAAGAGTCCTGGAGTGAAGTGGAGAGCCTGGAGTTGCGCCAGGGGAGGTTCAGGTTAGACATTAGGAAGAATTTCTACATGAAAGAATAATCAAGCATTGGAACAGGCTGCCCAGGAAGTGGTGGAATCACCATATCTAGCACGGTTTAGCAGGCATGGTGTTGAAGGGCTTATGCTTGGACTTGATGACCTTGAAGATCTTTTCCAACCGTGATTTTATGGTTCTATGAAAAGCACTTTGTTTTCTGCCTTTGCAGCTGCTTTTACAGATGTCCAAGTGGGCAAAACTGGGCTTTGAAGAAAGAGCTGATCTCTCCCTCTAGATTATAAGTGGGTCTTAACTGCCCTTAACGGCTTTAACCAAAGCAGCAAGGCAATTGCCTCCTCCAGTGACTGCTCCAAAATGTTCCCGCATCTTTCTCACTGCTGAACGTATATACATACATACGTACATATATATATGGAAAATATATATTAAATTCCTTTTCCCTTTTATTCATTATATGTTTTTATTTCTCTTATAAAATATGTATGATCAGCCAACATTTCTCTGAGGACAAAGAAGAGAAATGGCATCTTCTTAAATATTAATTAAATAATTTGTGAATATTGTCAGTATGCAGAATGCACAGCTCATTTCTTCAAGCTGTGAACTCCCTTATTTGTCACAACACAAGACCTGTCAAGGGCTGAACTCCATTCAGGATCCTTGGATGAACAAAGAGGATCAATTTCCTTGCAGTGAAAAAGAAGTTTGCTCTGAGAGATTTAAAGAAAAAGAATGATAAAAGCAGCCTGTCCTGCCTTTGCAAACATTCTGACAGTACTTCGTTGAATTTAATTGACCCAGTAATGACACTCAACTGTAAGATATTTAGATTGAGGCACTTGTTTCATTGTAGTTGTTAATGTATCTTTTTAATATTTGGGAATTCTATTGAAAATTTATGAGACTTTGTAATTAAAAAAGCATGTGCAGGATAGGTAGAAGGAAAGAGGAGGTTTGATTCCCCATTTTCCTGTACCTTCAAATATATAAAATGATGATGTTTGGATTTCATACGAACCTTCTTGGAGACCTGCCTTTCAGATACATATCTGCAATTCAGAGAAGAGGGAAGTGAGCTTTGTATGCTAACTAGATGTCTTCTCCAAATACGTTTGAAAACAATTTACTTTCATGGATATCCATAATGGCTGTTGTCTATAATTCTGTGGCTTCTGCAAACTGTAATTTGGTTCAAAACACATATCTTCCAGATAGCTTTAGGTAAAGAAAAGATAAACACTTGTTGTACATATTGGTTGAAAGATTGCTTTCCCTTTGCAGAGAAATCTCAGATATGAAACAGTCTTCCTATTTTGGTGTTCAATTAGTCTTTCCATTTTGCCCAACTAGCTGTTAATGGCACGCAGTTAGCTAATGGCAACAGAATGCAGTACCATTTGGTGTAATCATTCATTTCATATGAAGGAGACCTTTATACATGTGGGGTTATATTTGAATGCTTTCCCGAGACAATAAAAGACTGTTTTCATTCATTTTTTAGATACTGACCGAGCTTTAGTGCTGCTGGAAGAATATTGTAAGAAACTAAGGAAGCCAGAAGAGCAACAACTGAAAAAAGCTATCCGAAAGGTGATGGGCATCTTTAAGAGCAGCTTGTTTCAAGCACTTCTAGGTAGGTACTTATGTTTAAAGCTAGATACCTGTTTCTGAAGGTCAGATATAGGTCAGACCTAACAACTTTCTTCTTATTGGTCACTATTTAATTTGTGTTGGCAATGCAACAGCACATTGAGATGATCCTTCCAGGTTTTTATGAATAAACTCATTGTCCAGATATTTCAATGGCATTTCCTCATTTATAATGAAGAAAGAGTAGTGAAAAGTCATGCAAAGGAGGACATTGAATAGTTATTCCTAAATCTTGCTGCTTTCATTTGTTACATGAAAATTACTGAACAACAGTAGGGTACAGTTGTTTGTGCAACATGGAAGGTGAAACCTCCATGGAAGGTGAAACATAGGTGATTGGCTAAAGTTTCATTGACTTTGCTGGAGGCAAAATATGTAAAACCTCTATGTGGCTTTTGCATTGTTTTTATAAGAAGCATCAGCCAAGGGAACTTGGAAACTGGTCAAGGAAAATGCTCAAGGATGCAGTGGAACTTCTGCAGGGTTTCCCAGTTGATGTGATGTTGCAGAGGTTGTTGTATATAGAATAATGTTTTCAAGATCTTGAACTTAAATTGAACTGTACCATGGGATATTTAAGATATGCACTGTTGCTTTCCTGTTGTGCCTTGCCCAGTGCAGTGTATGTGCTGGCAGTCATGGGAGATGGGGTAGTGATTGCCTTTCATTCTTGCTCCACCTCACTCTACCACCCTGCTCAAATTGTCTTGGTCCCTCAGTTTTATTCCTTCACAAACATCCATATATTTGGTCCAGGAATGATCTGCTACAGAAGGGAGCATTTCTTAATGTCGACACCATTCAGTAGCTGTTAGGAAAAAGAATTTGATTGTACATCATAAAAGTTGGAGCACATCAATATTGCACTATTACAATGAGGAGGAGGGAGATCTGGGAATAGTTTCTGTAATTTCCGTAGCATTTATGAAAAATGTATGTTTCCCACCTCCATTTCCTGAAATGGAATTACTTAATGTCAATGCTATTTTACTTATAATTTCGGTCAGCTTCTTCAGAGTTGTTTTATAAACCATATATAACTTTTAATGGCTATGTATTATAAAAAAGCAAATAAATTCATAACAGGTTTACCAAATACTTATAAGTAGATTTAGATTAAACTGAAAAAAAGGAAGTTTCCTATATCATTTTTATGCAGATAGCTATGAGTATAAAAGTTTATATTGAAGAAATATGCAAATCTTCAACACAATGCTAATTCTTCATTTACTTTTGCAATACTTTGAAATAATCCTTCAAAGTATTCTAAAAGCATGTATTCTTTGTGTGGCTATCCTCTATTTTTTTTATGCATGACATATGCCAGAAATGAACAAGTCATTATAACTCCATTCAGGTTAAATCCAAAGAATATAGGAAACATTTTGGTTGCCAAGATAACACACTGAAGAGTGAGGTATTTCAGACATTAGATAGAATTTTAATTTGTATGCCTTTGAATATTTTATCCTTGTCCTTCAACCCATCTTTTTATTCAAGAGATCTGAGAATCACAAGATGTTCAAAGTCTCTCATTATTACATTTGCTTTGCTCTCTGGTTGGTCTAGATTCTGCAGTAATACAAAGACAGTGACTTCTCATCAGTGTTTTAAGTGGGGAAGATGTTATTACACAATCAATAATGAGGTTCTTGTAAAAAGATTATTAAAACAACAACAGCAACAAATACCCACTTCTGTGCCATCTGCTTTAGTTTCCTGTTGTATTTTCTTCCACTTTCCTTTAAGTCATACCACTAGTTAAAAAAGGGCTTTTGGTCACTGATAAAGGTATGTCTTGCTTATGTTCCTTTCTCTTTTATATACAAAGCCTCTAGTGATCTTGTAAGTGTCCAATTTGGGGCAATATTTGGAGACTGAGTGTTCAACACTTTCCTAAACTTCATCTTCTTTGCAGCAGACTGTTTTTATCCATAACTGATTGACCTTTTGGTTGCTTAGGCTGTAACTGTCAATTAAAAATATGATTCTTGTACAGATTATGGAACATTACCCTGGATGCAGAAATGCGTGTTCTAAAATTAACAATGTTTTATTTGCGAAATTCAGCATTGGCGGTCCTATAGCTTAGGTGTAGTTGCAGTCCTTTAGGAGCAAATTCAGCTACCACAGTCATTCCGGTCCTTTAAGTGATTGTATTGTGTTCATTTCTAGTTAACTTCCAAATTTCTTTACAAATCCATAAATCTTTAAATTTAGTGTAACAAGAATTGGTAAAGAAGGATACAGTTAGAAATCAAACCTGAGAATCTAAGCTTGAGTTTTATCTAGCTCCATTTGTTCTCAAATTTGTGCTTGTGGGATTTGATTCATAGAATCATGTTTGAATATAGACCATCAATAGTTGTATACCTTTTTTTAATCTTCAATGTGTTTCCTAAGTATTGACTACTGACCTAGGGATTAACATGAGAAATGTGATGCTGAAAAATCTTCTGAGGATTCAGTATTTTTCATGATTATATTGTATTTATGCAAAAAGTGACTGCAAATATTGAAGTAAAGGATCTGTAAGTGATTTACTGAAGGATTATTGATGGATTGGCCTTTTGCATTTTAATTCTAGTTCAAAAGCATCTCCTTCTCCCTTCAGGCTGTCCTTGTTGCTAGACTTCTTCCTAGGGTTGCTGGATTTGGTTATTGCAGAGTTAGTTGCTAAAAGGCACATTTTCAAAGTGACATGTGGAGCTGCAGTCTCTGGAGTCCCATTAGACTCAAGTAGCCCAAACACAATGCTTTGAAAATCTAGCCCTATTTTTCTAAGAGGAGGAGGATGGAGGAAAAAAAGAAAAAAGAAAAAAAGAAAAAAAAGAAAAGCTCTTAGTGATGAAATGAATGGAAATGGAGTGAAAGAGGAAGCCCTATCTAAATATTGACATTTCTCTAAATTAATTCCAATTTTTTTTTTGCCAAGGTCTCACCAATAATTGCTTTCTATGGCACAGTGAGAATGTAACTCATAACACCATCATCATCATGAGCGCATAAAGATTTTTAGCTTTTAATAGAGGTATCTGTAACTGGACGGCATTAAAGTACCTAGGTTCTTGCAAATTGTAGCACATATTATTGTGATTCGAACATGCATTTTTAGAAGTAAGTCTAGAAGGAAGTAAGTCTACAGTTAAACTAACCTTCAGCATAACCTGCTGAAATCCAAATGCCCCATTTGTTGGGATTGACTTGTCATGGGGCAGACTGTAGAGATAAAAGAGGAAAACCCTGATAGAGAGTAATAGCAGCAGCAGCAACAGTAATGAGAAACGAAAAGATCCTAATCACCTCAACATGTGAAAACTGCTAAGCCTTTTTTTCCAGTTGTGTTCTTTATGAAAATCAATCAGTATTTATAACGTAATACGCACAGTTTAGTACAATATATTTCTAAAAACGTCAGCTATATATTTGTCTGGGGTTCATTTCATTAAGAAAAGTGCATGATTTTACAGCTTAGAAGGCCGTTCTGTGGAATGAGAATGGATGAAAGAGATTTATGTAAGGATTTTTTCTTTTTTTTTTTTGGTAGATATATCTCTATAAAACATCATTTTGTTTCTAGAAGGAATTATAGTGCCACAAATAGCTATAATCATCTTACTCAGTATTAGGTAAAACCTAATCTCTGTAGGTTTTCCTAAAATTTGGATAAACCCAGTCTCTAGAGGGTGACGTGTTTTCTGGGTCTTTTAAACCATGCCTTATCTTTTTTCTTTTTTAATGATGCTTGCGTAACTTTGCCTGTATTTTAAACTGGCAGGCTTTCAGCTGAAATCTCCATCATCATCTTTTTCCGTATGGTATTATTTCATTTCTACACGCTAATGTGGATAATATAAAACTGCCTGTGGTAAACACTATGGTAGGGATTACATAATTTATTGGTCATCTGTGATGCAGTTTGTATTTAGAGATTTAGGATATATCATTTTTTATTTTTAATAAGAGTATTTTTTTAGACTCTTCAGCTCATTCATCTCACTTTCAAATAAACCCTGTTACAATAATGCATTTTAAAAGAATGACTATGTCATTTAAACCATGTCATGAAGAAGGTCAGCTTATTCTGCAATCACATACTATTTTTCTAATTTTTAATAAGTTAAGTGGCAATCTAAGCACAATTATATTGGTAAATTTATGTATATCTTGCACCTCTTCATTTTACTGAAAGTTGCTGCAAGACAGCTAAGATATCTAAGGACATGGAATACAACCACTTGCCACTTTAACAGGGCCTACTTATCAGACTCCCATTTGCTTTAATTATCGTGATATTGGAAGCTAGTAAAGTACATATTTATTAATATGCAAGCCATTGACAAGCCAATATTTAGTACTGTAAGCAAAAGAAAAAGCGGGTTACAAGCTTGGTTATTTTTGGTTTTGCCTTAGTTTGATTGACTTTGGCATCTAACAGGCTCTGAAACTTTGTTTTGAGCCTGAAACTCTTCTTAATGTCCTAAGGGACATTTGCTATAACGTCCTTCTGTGTGTATTATCTAATTATCACATCCCCTTAAAATCTGATCAGGTTTATGGCTGGAAGAGTGGGAGCCAAGAGGCAGTCTCATGCAAAGACCCTTCTTTGGGTTTTAACCTGAACATTTAAAGAGAATTTTGAATGTTGGAAGTATGAAAATGTAACTAGAACCCATGCTTGTGTAAGCGTGAATGGGCAAGAATTCAGAGACAAATTCAATGGAGAAGCAAGGAAGAAAACTTCAATTGGAAACTTTGTATAAACTTCAGGATAGTTAGGTATTAAGATAAGTGGAGTGGAGCTGCCGTTGGAATGTTGAAACATGCACCTGTGACAAAAGAAAAATGAGAAGAATGAAAAGGGGGAAAGATTTTTGACAGATAAACACATGTGTCCAATAATATCACCCCCCTACACACCCACACATCTGTAGGCTTTAATGCTGAGAGGCAAGTAGAGCCTAGGAATTTGATTAGACATGT